AATTTACAAGACAACTTAGCAACTTGTTTCACATGACATGGGTATGAGGACGAATTCAGAAAATGCTCAATATGGATTGAAGCGTGTAAATAATGTCTTTCAATTAATCTCCACTTTCTATAGAGGGATGTACAGGTTGTGGTTAACTTCGACGTACTTTCAATCTTTCCTTCCTTCCTCCCGTCTTATGTACTTACCATCTTTGGTCTTTAACAAGTTCATATCCTTTGATTTGTACGGATAGTTTGTTTAAACTAGAGAGAGGTTAGTTATAATTCATTTAGGGCTAAATAAATTCACTCTAATATGAACTATTCTCTAATTGGTCCATGGAGTATTATAGGTTTCATGCGAGTTTAACAGTTTTTTCTAAAATAGTGCCTTCTATCAATAAAATATAATAGTGTGAGGATTAATTAACCCTAAGTGAGTAATAACTAATCATTCACTCAAAATATCATCATACTAATTATTTTCATAAATACTATATTTGCAATCAACTCCATTAGCTAATACGTTAGTGCATTTACGTCACTTCTTTCTTCTCCCGAGAACATAGTGTGACAATGTGCTTGTATGAAGTACCAGACAAATAGATGTATTGAAGGACGTTCAATTCCCACAACCGCTATTATCTTTCCTGTGAAGTTCTCCTTGATTCGCATTTGTTCCCACGATACCTTCAACGTATGGATTTCATGTCTTGAAGATCTTATTTAAAAAAAAGGTTTTCAATAAATATGCCAAGGAGAACAGTAGAAGAGAATTTTACTAGTTGAAAAAGCTGACCATAACTTTTTAGCTCAATTCTTTGAACTATCAAATTTAATTATATATGAAAATATCACCTATTTATAATGTAAAAAAAAAGAAACTTCATCTAAATAAAAATAAAAAACTTGAGATAATTAGATTAATTACTAAAATATACTAAAAAAATTTTCTCAACAAGTTTAAACTCACGTTTTGAACAGGGTGCAAATATAATTTAGTGTACAATATTTATGATCATGAATCACACATATCATGATGTGGAATTTTACAAAAATACCTGTCGAAAATACATTCATTTTTGAAGTTGAGATAGTAAATTTCCTGATTACGATAGTTAAAAATTATGAAATCGATCGAAATACTGGCCTGACTTATTCCTTCTTTGTACTTGAAGATACAATAAACTATCGAATATTCTTGTATCAGCATCTAGTAAATAAAACAGTGTATTTAAGAGTGTGAACGTTCAATATGCTTCAACATGTTCATATAGATATAAGTAGAAAAATTTAATTATATGAGAGATATTTACACAACACCTAGAATACCATAGTTAACCGTTATTCAAAGGAATCTTGCTGTCTATGTGTATGCTTTATCTCGTGTGTTAAGCGTGGATCACTTTGTACCTTGGAAGAAGTGAAATTTCAAGTGTAAACAATGGAAATGCAAAAGGGGAGAAGAAGGTCAAAAAATCTTGTATTGTGGATGGATCGATTCATTTGATCGCGGATTGTTGAAAAGGTTGGCAGCTGTCGAGGGTCTACTGGGTACAGAGCAGATGGAGGGATTTTTAGTGAGGCCATTTTCTTTTACAATATTCAATATCAATTAAAATGTTAATTTTTCTAAACTGACAATCAACTTTATTTCTTTGCCACTAATAGACTGCTATTTTTCTCTACTTAATACATCCTACTCATTTCAACTTGAATTCATGCTTACATTTTCAAGTTTATCTAAGAATCATAGTCTTCAGAATGTTTAAATATTTTATGGTTGAAGCATTCAATATATAAACTCCAGAAACTTACTTCATAGTTGAATCTTAACATTACTAAAATCAATTAAAAAAATTACATATATGGAAAAATTGAATTATATGAAAATATGTTTTTTTAAATGAGATTAGAAAGTTAAATAAACTACCACTTATTGCTCCGCAATATCCTACTTATGACACAATATGTGATTTAAAACGTAAAATCATAGAACTTTAGCACCAATAAAGATATACATTTGTATGTTTTCAAGCATATCACAATTTGCATCTATGAACTATATGTGCACAAAATGACAAATTTCATGATTATCACTTTAGTATCATGCATTTAGTTGTGTGTGTGTGTATATATATATATATATATATATATATATATCTCGTCTTGTTTTAGTTGAGTTATCTTATTGTTATATAATAGTTTGTTATTTTGCACCAATATTCATATATGTAAACTCAACACACATTTGCAATCTAATTCATCGGTTCCATCAACTCATTAGAAATGTTATCAAATATCAGAGCAAAAGAAATTTATTTCTAGTTGTGTATTTCAATGCTCCTACACGTTTCATTCAATTTATTCAATTCAATAATTATTTGATTTTAATTTTTTTTAGTAACATGAGTATAGTTTATGGTCTAGATTTTCTTTTCATCTTTTCACAAATTATTTGACATAGCACTTTTAACTTTTGGAGTGATTTGTAATTTGAAAAGTCTAAATGAAAACTTTCACTTTCCCAACTCTCATTCTAATACTTGCTTTTACTCTTTAGGGTTAGAATCATCAACTATCTTCTATCCTTGACCACTAGGAGCTTCTTAGCTCTACATTTTATATTTTAGAACCTAATGCGCAATCAAGTCATGTACATCTTTTTGTTTACATTCTCATTGTTAAAGATTAATTTTCTCTCAACATGTCATATTGTTTTAGCTTACTCTAAATTTTGTTTAAATCCTAGTAAGAAAAATCTTTATATCCTACATTTACAAGACCTTTTGACTCGCACTGTATGGAGACCAGGTTCACATACAGCAAGTTTGCAACTAATCAAATTGCTCTTAAACACTACATGTAAAAAAAATTTTGGCGTAGGTACAGAAGTGTTATATGCTATCTTGTAATGAATGGTTTGACTTGAAATGGAAACAAATAAGAGCAAGATCGGTTGATATATCTTGGATCTCCCAAGTTGGTATATTATGACAAGTCATTACATAGATTTGGTGAAGTCTAACAAACAAGCTTTCTTGCAATGGAAGCAAAAATACTTACAAGAAAGATGTTAGAGGATTCAAAATTATTTCAGAGATTAAGATAAGTATTATAATTTTCAAAACATATTCTTGATAGCAAGCCTTTGATTTCTTTTGATGAAAAGTATGTTATGTTGATTTGATCAAGGATAGGTTAATCATGTTAATGATAGGCTTGTATATTTTGAACAAAGATACCTACTTGCAAGTTTTTCCAGTTTCTTATCTCACAAAATTGCAATACATAAATTTGGATCTCATAGTCCAGGAATTGAGGAAATACTATGGTTTTATGCTGACAAGATAGAACAAATATGTAGATTATGTGACAGAGGCAATATTCAGAATAAATAGCATGTGTTTGTTACATGCCCAAGATATTAAGAGAATAGACTGAATCATAAATTATATGTGGAGAATTTTTATTCTTCAATATATAACAATCTTACACACAATTATGTGTTAAATTGTTATATTAGTGACATGAGTACTCTAGGTTCTAGTGTTCTAGGCACTAACTAGGGGAAGCTCTTCACGGTCTTTTCCTGGTAATCATGGATTTATGAAAAGAGATGTTTTAAAATCAAATTATACTATTTTCTTTATAGAAATTGTTTCCAACATAAAATGTTAGATATATATATGATGTATGTATATAGCTTGTGAGTTAAATATGCTGTATACACAAATCAGTAAATGAGTCATTTTAAAAATCAGATTCAATTAATGGGTACTAACATATGATCTATAATCAAACTTAGATCTTCCATGTGAGATGCTTTCGACATCATTATACTTTTAAACTGATATTTAATTCTACTTGGAAATAAAATTGAAATTTATGTGATTCTATTGTAACTATAAGCCATTTTTTGTGATCATAAGAGCAATTTTTGTGGAAAACATTTCTAAATATCTGAACATATTGATTATATCAGGTTGATCTTTCACACAACAGCATTCCCAACCATATCCGTTCGAGGCTGCAAGCCAAGCATTGTACTGGATTAAAGTGCTTACAAAGATTGAAGTGGAATAAATTTGTCTTCAGCATATTTGGGGGTCCAATGGTTAGACCTGCGGGCTTCAAATACGACTTCGAGCATGAACCTTGTGGGTTAGATCTGTGATTTGTGAAGTCCAACTACCCGATTTCAAAAATATCTGACTGTGCCAAATGGAGTCTTAATGTGAGAAAGAATGACCTGATGGAATCGAGCTGACCGCAAAACCTGTGTACCAGCAACCAGTTTGAAGTTGAGTCTTCGATCCGCAGCGTCATAGACGTTTACTCTGACGTGAGGTAAACTGACGTTTACCTCACAGTTGACTAACACTTTGACCACTTGCATAAGCTTACTGTATAGAGTGTAAAGCAGCTCGTTTGTAATCACAGATACTTGGCAGTGGTGAGGTAATGTATTGTACTGAGACACTCAGCATAGAGCCACGCCTCGTGGCAGCCCCCAGTGTTGTGGATCGGGGACATCGAGTATTGCGAACAATTGTTCTGCTGTTTGTTCCAAAGAACAGTGCAAGTATATATTGAAATCTCTGAACAGCAGAGCACTACTGGAGATTAAGACCTACTCACAATACAGGAGCCCTTCTAGTATTTTACCCGATAATGATACAAATTCTGTCCTGCGATCGAAGGTTCACTGCGGATTTCCGCCAATTCGGTCCCCAATTCCTTTGCAGAAGGCGGTTCTTTTATGTTAGCTACTTTACGCTCGAGGTCCATGCATGAAGTTTCTACAAGTTTTGCTTGCAGACGATAGCGCGAACTGTCTAACGCTTCCCCCTTCTGTATCATGCTATGTCACCATGGTCGTACTTTAGAGCACAGTCGACCGTCAATGATTTTTATGGACTATCCAAAGAATACATCCTCCACATTTTACAGTTTTCTAACGTCACATGTTGCAAACATTCCGATCACTGGAAAGGGAAAATATCACAGCCAGACAGACGTGAACGCCATTGATAACAATCAAAAAGTCAGAACGTGCAAATGTCTCCTGTAGTCAAACTCAACCTTGAATCATCCATCGCTCGTCCACTCCCGAAGCCTCAACAGGAATCAATATGCACGTCTGAACATGTAAAGAATCTTTGTTCTGTCTAAACTATGCTACAAATTAAGTTATGGAGAATGATTCGTGCTCTGCTTGGCTGCAGGGACTTTACCCATGATTGCGTCGTCTGAAGCAGGTTGAGACCGAGGGAAATTCTATGTACGTCTGTGGCGTTGCAATCTGTCAAGAAAATTGCATCTTTCTAACTCTAAGTTTGACGACGGGATCCGATTCTAATTAAATGAAAGTGGAACTACTGCGAGCTTAGACACGCTCAGTACTTTCACAAGCATAAATGTGCAAGGACTACTGCTCTGCTGCCGAGTGTACAATGTCCGAGTTGATGGTGGCATTTGATGGATTCTGAGATCTTCAGAATACTTGGTAACACTGCACCTGGACCCTGAAATTAATGATTTAAATGCTGAGATAAATTTTGAGCCAACTTCTGTCCAACTGCGGGGACTGCTGAATACTAATCTTCTTTGGATTCTTCTAAACAATGTGATGGGTGCTGTAAACTTACTCCTCCCGTCATAACACATTCAGATCTCGGTCTAAGGGGCGGGCTCCAAGGGTCGATGATTCTCGATAAGACTAAACTCAAATCGACGTGACAAGCTGTTCTTTCTTGCTTCTTCCTTTATGCTCTCGAGCTCTGGCCTCCATGATCTGGTTTCCACACACGTGCACCTCCAATTCATCTCCGCCTTCGCCAAAATTCGCTGCAGTTTCAAGGCACTCGGGCTTCTGATGGAATCTTTGTATTTTTTCCTCACTAGTCCCAGGCATCCTGTATGTAAAGCCAGCAATGATCCTAAAGTTACTCGACCTTTTGCTCTTCTGGTAAACGTCGCCTCGTTATCATCCGAATCTGATAATGTTGGGAATCCTTGACCCCCTGGACCAAGGCAAAGGCTCCTCGGGAAGCAAGATGTGGGTCGGGAGTGTCGAACATCTTTCACCTTATCGAAGAGCCGAGGAAGGGGCACCAGCACATAAGTGCGCCCAAACTCCAATTCCATCTCCTGAGGAACCATTGTTGCCTTCGAATTGGGTCCTTCACTGTCACACAAGTAGTGATGAGGATACGCTTGCAAGAGCTCGCTAACGCTTATGGGCTGTGTGTAGATGTATACCTTGCCATTCGGATGCACCACCCGCACCGCTTTCGATACGAAGCATGATAGAACCGCCACATTCCCCATAGAAATATCGAAGGCCTCAAACGATTAGGAGATCTTGCAGCAATTTCTTTCACATACAGTCTTCTCGGTTCCGTCTACTGCAACTTGGTCAACTCGCAGCTGCAAAAAGCACCCCATTTCTCCAGTCCCAGAATTCAGCAGAACTCTCATTCTTGTCTTCCACAGGAGGGAGTCTGGTGCAAGTCACAGCTGACAGATCAGCCAAAAAATCACGACAAGCTCTCACGTGCACCTGGTTCGTGACGGAGCATTTGAGCTGAAGGGGACATAAGCGATATTCGCCCGCTCTTGTAGGATACTATTCAAGCTTCGAGTATCTAATTGGAAGAGACGCTCTTTACACACTGATCTTCTCATGCAGTGTCATAACTTTCAAAATGTCAGGACCCGCGAATATGAAGAAGAATAGTGAATTCTGTACAAAGCAGAACGAACTGACGCGCAATGGCGGTAAGACGAACGAACAATAAAGTGTGGTGACAGAATATGCGCACAACGGTATAAGACGTTAGGTGAAACTAGTAGATCACGTGTGAAACGGAAATTTTTGATGGCCACAACTAACCAAACGTGGCTGAGATTGTAAAGCTAAAGCTGATCTGAGGCATACTCATTATTTTTGTCAGTCATCTCCTCACTAACACACACTCGCCCCCACTAGAACTACTGCCATCACGAGTTGAGTCAGTGGACATAGACAGTCATGACACTGCAAAAGTTTAAAGTCCCACCTTCACGCGCTCCTTCTTTTGAGAGCTTCTTTATACGTACAGAACTATAAACTGAGAAGCGGAGCGAGTCATATAAAATCATGAGGATGGGAAGACCTCGTCGAGTAGCGCGTGAGAGAAGCACCACATGTACAGTGGTGCTCAGCCCCAACTATCACCCAGTTAGATTCACGACTATCCTGATCACACACTCTTCTATCCAAATAACCATCATCAAACAAGAATTCTCTCTTGCACAATGAATATCAGAGCCCAACATTGGGTGCCCATGCCCATGGGTTTTGGGTGACATTATTTTTCCATGGGTGGGCACAAGTAATGCTAAGGGAGGTGTTTGTCAAGATCCAACCAAGAATTGGCTTAATTTGAATAGCATGGGTGGACACAGGTAATGCTATGCGTGGGGTTAGGTCGCTGCTGATGGTTATGGTCTAGGTGCAGATTTGAAGTAAAATGTTGGCCTCTGATGCATGTCAATCATTCCATTAAAAATAACAGCTATACTCTTCATAAAAAAAATTTATAATATATTAAAAAACAACCCGATTATTATGTCTCATCATAATGTAGATTCGCTTTCTCACTAGAATGTTGAGGCTCGTTACATGATTTCATAAAATATCGAATCAAGCGTAAAAAATGACTTTTATGAACACACTCATCACTTGAGACCTTGGTTATAATATTTCCATGAGAATGACAAATCACACACAAAAATGTGTCACTTGTAAATGTAAGTTACCGCAATTTCTACACTGATGTAATGATCTAAGTTTAGATTTTATAATCCTCTGCTTTTTGATCGAATATAGACTGAGAAACATAGTAAGCGTTTGTTCATATGAGAAGAATACCTTATTCTTCTCATATGAACACAATAGACCATAACACAATAGACCTCTTGTGTTATGGTCTATTGTGTTAAAATAGACCATAACACAAGAGTATGGTCTATTTTATAATAAAATCACTTTCCATGATGGCCTCACGAATAGCTGTAGTATGTAATCTAAATGGAGTAACAACGGTGTAACATACTTTCAAGTGACTCGTGAAGATGCAAACAAATAACCTACTATAGTTGTCCAATGGGATTATACCATGGTCCAATGGGAAGACATATCTCTCAGTCTATGTTAGTTATTCTCCATATCATACCAAATACGCCTTTAGTTTTGTCATGGTTACATTATACTTAAATAGAGAACAAATCACGTATGTACATAGCATCATTGCTTCTATCTGTAAGTTGGTAAAACAGTCAATTTTACTGCTCAAAATTCCATGGCGGGGTCTAACAGCCACTCCAAGAAATCACCGAAGACCTCGTCTGGCTGTGTGGCCAACATGGGGAGTTAATGGCCAAAGTTGATGGTGGCGAGTTCCCATATTGAATGACTTTCTCCTTAAACGATCCTTCCTGATAGATGGAATTCTTCGCCACTGCATAACCTAAAATTGGCGAAGAAGGCGAACTAGCGAGAGAGAGAGCGATGCACATTCCATAGAAAATTTGGTGAGTCTAACATTACGACCAGGAAAGTACTGTTTTATCACCGACCAAGCCAACTGCCACTTTATGACCAGCAGAGGAAGATAGACGGTGCACAATTGACTACCTGCATCTCACTGACCAAGCAGACATGGCAATTGTTAAAAATTTCATTTCGTTTCTGTCATTAAACTAGCGAAGGGCATTCAAGCTGAGAACTATGCCTAGAAATCCCTTCCACACACCAAAAAACGGATCATGGAATTTAGTGGCTAAAAAATGCCCAAAAGACTAACAACACTGAGTACAAGTGTCATGCTACCTGTGGACTATCTAATCAAACTGCATAAAATCAGCTCCGTTGAAGGCAAGGGGTGCTCTGACCCTCGTCGAAGTGGCGATCTAGAGTCTTCTGGATCACCTCAGGCCTTGGAGTAGACGATGATTTGCTTTAAACAAACAACCTTGCCAGCGTCCAGAAAAAGAGGACGCAAGGGATAAGATAACGATGGCAAGAACCAAACTACATTATTGCAAAACAACAAACAAAGTTTGGACGACCAAGTAGATAACATATTGACTGCCCTATATTTCCTGGTTGGTCTATGAACAAGGTATATACATACAAGGTGAGCTCGCTCGGTTTGCAGTTTGTTTTGGGCATGTCATTTCGCATGTTATTTACAAATGTTGAATAATATAAGAGATAGATAGAGAGAGAGAGAGAGAGGTCACACATGACTTGGTCCAATAGACTCGCTTTGCAATATCAGTTTTATGATAGAATGGAAAAACACATCATAGTTAGATACAAAAGCTTATTTCACCCAAATTTAGCTGATTTTTTGAATGTTATAATATGATACTTATTCCATAAATTCATAATTATTCCATAATTTAGTCTAAAGAAGAATCAGATTTTCCTTCTTGATCAAAATTTGTGAATTTTTTTTTTACTCCCTTTGAATGAATCAAGTTGTCTGATTTTCTTTACCAAATTTGACTGCAAGTAAAATAATAATCAGATAATAAATCAAAATTATGTTCATCTTAATATATATTTATATAATAAATCACATATATTTATATATTATATATTATAATAATATATTTAATATTATTATTTATATATATATAAAAACAAAAGTGAAAAAATAATCATGATTCCAAACACTAGGATTATTGATTTATCAAAAATTTTATTTATACTTGACATTAGACTGATTAAAATAGTAAATTTCTTTCAAATGATTTAAAAATTTAATGAATAGAAATTTCCTAATTTTTCTTCATTAAAATTTATACTACAAAAAACTAATATAAATTCAAACATAAATCAATAAGGAGTTTATCTTATCTTATTCTATAATTATCATAAATTCATTATTTAATAATTCATAGAAAAATTATATTATCTGCTATAATCTCTTAATTTATCAATTTATGAAGATTTTTAATTAATTTTATATAAGTATTGAATAAATTTTATTAATGAGTACTAGAAAGATTGAAAAATTTTATGCAATGAATAATTTTGATTTTATTTTTAAATTATTTTTAATAATAATATTGATATAAAACTACATACGTAAAGCATTAGATTTACAGTATAGGAAATTTCAACTTTAAATTATTTTTAAGATTACAAATAAGCTGCTTAAAATAATAATACCAATAAATAAATTTATAATATCAAAAAATTTAAATAAAATAGGAATCTTTTTGTTGATTTTGATACATATTTTTCAATTTAAAATTGATTTGAAATTTAAGCTACAATTATATTTTTAAAAAATTACTAAAATTAATTGTCGTTAAATTTACAATCTTGTTATATAGTCTAATTATCTGCCACATGTAAATAAAATATTTTTATTATTAGAATCTAAAATTTATTGCATTTCATTACTTATAGATCTGTCAACATCAACACTGGATATGTTTTTAAATTATTAATATCATAAATGCAAAGAAGTCTATTTTTGGTCATTGAAAAACCATTCCTTTGTGATAAAACTAATTAATGTTATATAATTTAAGTTTCCTCCATTTTTGAAGATTTGGTTTTTTATTTCATAATTTTAGAAAAATATCTAATCAAATTTAATAAGATCTGTTCATCTTTTTTTGTGTGATAATTCTCATAGATTTGCAAAAAATTGAAGATTATTCTGAAAATCTTAATAGATTTGTAAAGCTTGCTTGAAATTATTAACGTCATTAATGCAATGAACTTAATTTTTGATCATTATCAAACCCTTTTTTGTGATCCAAACTAATAAATGTGAAAAGATTTGTATTTCCTTGATTTTCAACTTCAATTTTTTTTCATTGAATGATTTAAAATAAAATAAAATAAAATAAAATTACATCAATAAAATCTTTTATCTTTTTATAACATGAATTACCTTTCATGAATTTGCAAAAAATTGAAGATGATTTTAAAAATCTTAGAATGTTGTTCAAAGCTTGTTTGAGATTATCTATATACATTATACATATTATAAGTGAAAATCAAAAAAAGAATTAAATTAAGAATGTGAAGATGCTTGACAATAATCATGTTTTTTACCTTATTTCAAAGGTTCAAAATTGTATGAAAATAATCATCATAGAAGAAATCAAAATTTTGACTTTGTCAATTCTAATCATTATTAAAACTAGCTCAGTTTTTTCCCAATATTAAATCCAATTTAGCAAATTACAGAACATACTATTAAACACTTCACATAAGCATTATAATTATTTTCAATACAAATCAAAATTTATAGTATGTATGATGAAATTTTTTTATTTGATTTTAACATTTGATATGTTGTATTAAAAATTTGTCTATATTTATCATGATTAAATTTAGCTCATTTTTTGGTTTAAACTTGAAATCTGATTTAGCACAATACGTAAGATACAATTAAAAGATTCACACAAGCATCATTATCTTTTTTGATACAAATCAAATTGTATAATCCATAGTATGAAAATTTTTCTTTATCTCTTTTCTAATATTTGATATGTTGTACTAAATATTTGTTTTGACTTCATAGATAAAATGAAAGGTTGAGTATCTGAAATTTTCATGTATCTCCATGACATATCACTCGGCCCGCTTAGTCTAGTCGGGCGTCTAAATTACTTATATTAGTAACACAATGAGACTTTAGTTTAGGTGTAATGACAAACAATTACCAAAATGGATCATAATGGTAATATTCCAATCCCACTAGGATGGAATCAACCCCAA